CCCGAGGGCGGGCATCTGGGGCCGGAGGGTGGAGCTGGGGGCTCGGGGGTGTACCCGGGGGCGGGAGGCTGGACCGGGACGGCTCTAAATTGGCTGGAAGGGCCCGTCGGCGGCGAAGTTGCTAGCTGGGGGCAGAGACGGCCACGCGGTTGCAGGAGTAAGAGATCCCCCTGTGGCGAGTGCGTGAGACGAGGAGTCCGGCGTCCCTGCCATCCCCGTCGCCCTCCCCGCCTGCCCGGCCCCGCTAGCTCCTCTCCCAGCCTCCGCGTGTCCCCGCGCTCTCACCCCTTTGCCCCCCGGTTCGCTGCCGCGGCACTGCCGGCCCTCTCGGCCCCCGCCCTGACCCTCCCGGCCTCCGGCTTCCCCTGACCCTTGCTTGCTTCGCCACTGCCCCGGTTCCCCTTTTCTTCCCTCGCTAGTTACCCCTCCCGCTTCCTAATTCCCGATGCAATTGCCTCTTTGAGACCTTTTTTTTTTTTCCTCTCCTTCCTTTTAGATTGGCCAACGGCTCCTTTCAACCCTGCCTCGTTGGTGGCCACTGGAGAAGCGCGGGGGGCTCCCCAGACAGCCGTGGGGACAAGTTAGAGCCAGCACTTGACCCCGGGCCTCGCGTGTAGCTTCCCCTCCCCTGCTCTAGGTGCCGCGGTGTCTGGAGAGGGGGCGAGGGGGTGTGCCCACCTTACATGGTCCACCACCCGGGCAACCCTCTGGGCTCGTGTTCCATCTCACTCTTGCTTTCTGCACTGTGGTCAAGGGGAACCACTTTGCATCATGTCCCGGTATAGCTACCAAAGTCTCCTGGACTGGCTCTATGGGGGCGTGGACCCGAGCTTTGCAGGCAATGGGGGCCCCGACTGTGCTGCGTTCCTCTCTTGGCAGCAGCGGCTGCTGGAAAGTGTGGTGGTCCTGACCCTGGCCCTGTTGGAGATCCTGGTGGCCCTGCGGCACATCCTGAGGCAGACCAAGGAGGACGGTAGGGGTGGCCGTGGCAGCCAGCCAGAGCAGGTGACCCAGCGGCCAGAGGAAGGCAAGGAGAGCCTGAGCAAGAATCTGCTCTTAGTAGCCCTGTGCCTGACCTTCGGGGTCGAGGTGGGCTTTAAGTTCGCCACCAAGACCGTCATCTACCTGCTCAACCCCTGTCACCTGGTCACCATGATGCATGTGAGTCTGTTGACTTTTTCCTGGGCAGCCTAAGTGATAAGAGTCATTCGTGTGCTCAGGACACTCTGTAGTGTTCAGCACCTCATCCCTGTGGGAAGTGGGACCCTTAAAAATGATTTTCCAATGAGTGGCTGCCTCTGTGCTGATTTCAAATTTGACTTTCTTTTACCTTTGCACAAAGCATCAGCCCCACAGTGGAGGTGAGGACTATTGTGCCCGAACCCTAGAAACGACTGGCACTCAGGTCGGCTACTCCTCCCCTCCCAGCTCTGCCCTGCCCTTTCATAAGCAGGAAGTCCAGCTCCAGCCAGGTGCCCTTTCTGAATCATGAATCACATCTGTGGACCATGGCCCAGCCCCCTTGCTGTCTGTGGTAGTTAATTTCCCAGGACCCTGGTGACACTCTCTCCTGGAGGTGGTGACATAAGCTTCCTTTTCTTCATTGTGGTACTATGTGGAAATGGGGAAATACTTTTACAGGTTTCTTTTAATGACTCTTTCATTTGGGAATTTATGCTCTTAGAGTGAGGTCCGCCTTTGAGTTCTGAGACGTTGGAGCAACACCCAGCTCCCACTATGCACTGAAACAGGCCTCAGGCTGACTTGTGAACTTTGGGCTGGTGATCTGTATCTGTGGTGAGAGGATATTTATTTATTTTTGCAGACCTCTCCATCTTATCATTCTTATCCTATCCTATCTCCCATGGTCATGGTCCAGGGGTACTCGGAACTGATTTCTTTACTTCTTCAACTTCCACCCATTAGCGGTGCTAAGGAAAACAAATGGGATTGAGAAGGAAAGTTGCCAGGTCCATAAAAATAATCTGGGTGAGGACCAAGAGTGAGATTGTCTTTCTGTACTCAGCCTGTGCAGAGATGTTCTAAAGCTATAAAATTATGGAGGAGGAGTAAAAGGAAAAGAGGAAAGCATCAGTCTTTTTACAATTTCAGGCTATGGGAAACCTGGTATATTTTATTCAGGGGCAGTTTTGAAACCTGTCATTAGCATCTTTATTGCTTTTATGTTTGTAGAAGGTTATTCCCAGAAGACTTGTGACAACCCTGCTTGGGGCAGGAGGTTGAGATTATTATCTCCATTTTGTAGGCCTGGCAGGGCTCAGGGATGGGAGGTCACTTGCCTGCAGCCGAAAGATGAATTAGCATCTGTGTTGGAAAGCAAACCCATCCTCCTTGGGGTTGCAAGCTGTCAACCCCAAAGTGGGGGTGGCAGCGGGTAGTGAGGCAGTCCTATGAGAAGGCTGAGGCTGATGAACACGGTGCTGTCTACCCATGGGTTGGATACTAGCTGGCTCTGTGTTCCTTGAAACTCATTTGATTGCAGGCTCTCAGCCTTGGTTTCCTAATCTGTAAAACGCGGTGAATGACCTCTGGCCCCTTCCCTTCTGGCAGATGTGGTAAGAAGGTGTGGGTAGCTTTGGAATAAAGAGGCTGTTTTTGATTGGGTGGCTGTAAGCACCAAGCAGGACTGGAGTGGGCAGTATTTTTTTTAAGAGAGGGCTTCTTGGGAAGTGATGCCATTCACAGGAAGTCCAGGACTGTCCCAGCTAGATTTTCTGTGTAAATTTGAGCCAGTCCTCTTTTTTTCTTTTTTATGAATGGGCTTTTTGTTAATGAGAGGAAACAACGTATCTCAGCCACTGGTAAGTGAGGCTTTCTAGACAGGAGTGCTTTTTTAGGATGGCAGGTGGTGAGGGTCAGAGGGTGCTTCTTCTACAAAGGGGTCTTGAGGCCTCTGGCAACCGCATATCTGGAAGGTCAACAAAGGACCAAATTCAGCCTGACTGGGACTGCTGCTGGTATCATGACACCAAACCAAGCAGAACCTGGTTTTTAGAGGAAATCATTTTAGAGACTTTTAGAAGACTCAGGAGACCTAGTTCTGGCATTACTTCATTGTAACTTTGGGGAAAGTACTCGTCCTGGGCCTCAGTTAGCCCATCTGTAAAATGAGGCAGAGTTGTACTGCTAACTCTTGACAGTCTGTGTGATTATTGTCTTCATAAGCAGTAGATGATGATGCAACAGAGAGCTATTCTGAAATTCTTTTGACCTCCTCGTGTGGAAAAGGGAAGCTAGTTTAGTCTCTGTGGAGGTCACATGGCCAGTCCCCATTCATCTTTTGCTCCCTCTCTCTCCCCAGTAAACTCCACCGAGCTACCCTTGGGGACACATGAAGAGGATGATGGCACCTTGGGACTCTGAAGCTTTAGGGCAGGGGCATAGAACAAAGCCATGCTGAGGAATTCTTGAACTCCACCAGGATAATACTCCTTTGCCCTTTACCCCTAAGTAACTGCTTTGTGTCATTTAAATAGTAACCCCTGGTGGCTTAGCCTGTAATCCCAGCACTTTGGGAGGCCGAGGCGACTGGATTGCCTGAGCCCACGGGTTCGAGACCAGCCCAGGCAACTTGGCGAGACCTTGTCTCTACAATAAATAAAAAAAATTAACTGGGTGTGGTAGCACGCGCCTGTAGTTCTGTCTACTTGGAAGACTGAGGCAGAAGGATCACCGGAGCCCAGTGGGTTGATGCTGGGGTGGCCATGAGTGTGCTACTGCACTCCAGCCTGGGTGATGGAGTGAGACTCCAACTTAAAAAAAAAAAAAAAAAAAAAAAAAAGTAACCCCTGGCCTACTGGAGACCTAGCCATGATGCATCCAACTTTCCATACCCTCCATATCGTACTTCCTGGGAAGCAGGAATGTATAGATTTTTAAAAGTTGTGAGCCCCCCCCCACAAAAAAAAAGTAACAGCAGGTGGTTGGAAACAATTTTCTGATTTGGCAATGTCTAAAGATAGTATGTAAACCAGAACATCATAATACTTTACATTTATCTAGCACTTACTGTTTATAAGACACTTTCATATGCATTACCATTTTTAGGTTATGATCCATTAGCTTATGGCCTGAAGAAAGAAATGTTAAAATGTTTCCTGAGATCATGTATATTCCAAAGAGAATACACACAGAGAAATGCTTTGGCAAGTGAGCTAACTGAATTAGGCTGTAGTATAGTGGTAAATTCTGTGAAGTTTAGAAGTCTTAGCAAGGAAAGGGAGACAGATGTTAGCTGAAGTGGAAGGGATAGTTTAGCAGTGTATCTCTCAATAGGATGACTCAATTTGGGTAAAGGCCTTCTTCAGAGAGTCAGTGTCAGTTTGTAACAGGTACTACTGTTTTAGGCCAGGAAGTAGAGGAGTTGGAGGGAAACTGATTAGTCTTCCCATTTCCCATTTTTCAGTCTACAAAATAATTCATTCCCAAGGCTTATCGTACAGACCTTTGTCAAAGCCATACTGCCTTTGGGTGACTGCCAACTTTAGTAGCATAAGGAAGGGCAGTACTTGTGTCCGAGTTCTGTCCTTGATTAATATTCCTGCTGGTTTCTTTTGGGTCTGTTCTGATTTCTCAAAGGCCCTGGAATCGTTGACTGATACAGGTATGTATGTTTGAAGTAGCACCATCTCACAGCTCAGCTCAAGCTGGAGATGTTAAGTGTTCTCAAGATCAGCAAGCACCAAGATTAGCACACCAGTGCTAAACATCAGTGGTGTCTACTAATTATACCAATATTTCTTCAAGCATGGCCAGTTTCCCTTGTACATATGATTTTGGCAGTTATGGGTGACAGGGCGTGAACTTAGTGAGTGATTGTGCTGTTTACCAAAGATTACCCAGCAAGTTAGTGACATAGGTGGCTTTAGAACTGAGCTACCATGTAGGAATTTGGGCTTAGCAGGAAGAGATTCTCATAGCTATTTAAGTCTTAAAAATCTTTAATTTTTCAGTAGAAGGGTTAAAATGCTAGACAGTTTGACTGATTGTGTCTGTAAAGACTGTTTGGTCTTAGTGGCCCTTTATCTTCCTCGAGTCCAGTTATGTTGTCTTTGCCCTAGAAACTTAACAAAAAGATCCCATTTGGAATGCCTTGTTTAATTGTCCAGTTCCTGTTGGTTCTGCATGTGTCTGTGCCAACATCTCCTGATTAGGCACTGAACTTACTGGGGTGCAACATATGCCATTTAACCCTCGACATCTATACACATGAGGCAGGCTGTAGTCAGGCTGGACATTTTGCCAATAACAATTGATGCTAGCTGGGCTCAGTGGCTCAGCCTGTAATCTTGCACTTTGGGAGGCCAAGGTGAGTGGATTGCCTGAGTCTGCGAGTTCGAGACCCGCCTGGGCAACTTGGCGAGACCTCATCTCTACAATAAAAATCAAAAAAATTAGCCGGGCGTGGTAGTGCCCGCCTGTAGTTCCAGCTACTTGGAAGGCTGAGGCGGAAGGATCACTGGAGCCCAGCAGGTCAAGGCTGTGGTGGCCGGCAGCGGCCACTGCACTCTAGTCTGGATGACAGAGTGAGATTCCAACTAAAAAAAAAAAAAAAAATTGGTGCTATTGACTCCTTAGCCCCAAGCCATTGGTTTTCAGCCAGTAACAGTGCGCCCCATCCTTTTTTAGAGTAGTCGTTGCTCTTTGATTTTGTCTTCTTTACAAAATATTAGAAGTCTAATTTCCAACAAATATGACTTTACTTGTCTTTGCTTCACTGTTTGATTTTCTCCCTCCTTGCTAAAAGTGTAGAATGGTACATGCTCAAAAAGTCCTGAGTTGTTTTTTTTTGTTTTTAAGAGACAGTGTTTCGCCCTGTCACCCAGGCTGTAGTATAGTGGCATGACCACAGCTTACTGCAACCTTGAACTCCTGGGCTCAAGTGATTCTCCTGTCTCAGCCTCCCAAGCAGCTGGGACTACAGGTAGATGCCACCACTTCGGGCTAATTAAAAAAAAAATGTGTAGAGATGGGGGTCTGTCTTGCTATGTTGCTCAGGCAGGTCTTGAACTCCTGGCCTCAAGCAGTTCTCCTGCCTCTCAAAATGTTGGGATTACAGGTGTGAGCCGCCACGCCTGGACTTGTTTTAGAGAAAACCTGATGAATTTGAGAAACTTGGCTTTCTCTTTTCCCCTTTGACT